CTCTCTCTCTCTCTCTCTCTCTCTCTCCTTCTCTCTTTGATAATTCGATAGTACATTGCACCAATTATACCATATTATAAAATTACAATTTTAAAAGTCGATCGTTATAAATAAACTACGTATAAAAAGATAAATATTTAATATTATTATCTTCGTCTTATCATGTTGCTATTTCTTACGCCAATGCGACGAAATTTCGAAATACAATCTTTTTCCAACGAAAGTCTTGATTTTTCTTTGTCAATATTATACTTCTTATGCTTCTTATTCGTGTCAAAGTCTTCTTGCCTTGATTCGAGATGCTATCATTGCCTTCCACAGCTCTGCTGTCATGCTACGTATTATGTACATATTATATAGACTGTTCCATTGACAGTAATAATAACCGAGCAAACTGTGATTCCTTGTGAACCAAAAAATAAGCAGAAAATTTTTTGATTTGAGGCTTTTCGAGAAAAATCGGGTTTGGAAATTTGTCAAGGCAACGAAATATATTCAAAAATGAAGCATATTCTTGAAAATGAAACTTCAAATGAAAATATTTTATTCTACATTTCTGGCGTATTTTTTTTTCCACCTAGAACAATCTTTTGTTAATTATTTTTCTCAAGTATACTTAAATAATAAATTTTCAAACTCGATTTTCCTCAAAGAACAAAACCTCAAATAAAAAAAAATTTTATTCTACATTTTCGACTTATTTTTTCACAATTCTCCCCGGCTATATCACTGTTGATGGAACACTTTATATATACATCAGAATTTCAACAGATTTAATTATTTGGCTTTCTGCTATTTTTCTTTTTTAGTGGATCTTATATACAACGTCACGATTTATATCGTTCCATAGTATTCCCGTTTTCTTCTACACGAAGCTAAATGATGCGTTAGCTTGAATCTATGAGTGAATTTTTTCCCACAAATTTGACAGCTTTGCCTCGGTTCCACCCCACATTCGAGTCTTTGGTGTCTTCGTAGCGAGGTTTCCAATTGATAACCCTTTCCACACCTGGTGCACTTGTGAATCACCGGCCGTCTTTTGTATCGCAGATTTTCGATGTTCTTCACCGTCAGCCTTGGTACTAGAAAATAGAGAAGAGACGGAATGCTCGTCAGTAAGAAGAGAACGCATTTATACGCGAAAAAATGAAAAGGATCGTGACACGAGCTATTGAGTATAGATATTTATATGCCAGATTCACTGTTTCATATGTGAATTCTAAAATCGTAAAATGTAATGAAAACAGGAGGAGCGAATGCCAGAGATAGGGTGCAATATAGGAACGATGAAAATTACATAACTTCTCATTTTCAAGTGTGACGAAGAAAAGGATACAATCCCTATTTACTTACGAGAACTTTGTTTGGCATAAGTCAATATAGTTTGTACGAAGACAGCGTGTATTCGAAATTTTTGCAAACTTTTCTCCCAAGAGGAGAAAAAAAATACAACGCGCAAGCATTTCGTTTCCAGATCTTTGCTTCCCTTCCATTATTTCACGAATTTAACGAGAAGTAACGCGTCATACAAATACTCGTGAAATTTCATTTGTAACGTTTGACATTTATTTCTCGAGGCAAAATTGAAAAGACAATGATGAATCAATCTTTTAACAATACTCGATCACAGTCTCTTAAAGCATGTATCACTTGTTCGATTCACTTGATTTGTATTAATTGTCAATTAATTAGCTAGATTCATAGATAATTCGTTTCGTAAATCACATGGTAACATAATGAATCAGTTTAGCGTGTGACTGCCAACGATGTTTATGCTTGAATTTTCGGCCACAAATGGGACATTCAAATGTAGGATCCTTGCCACACTCGACTCGCAGGTGCTTCTTCAACGAGTCCCTCCACATGTATCGCTTGCCGCATTGAGAGCACCACCATACTTTCTTCGAGACGACTGTAAAGAGAAATCAAGGAATTACTTCAACGGCCTCAGGTCAAACATCTCTTTCAACAACACGCCACGTTTTTCGCACGAAAAGAAACTAGAAGCTATCAATAACACAACTGATGCCTTTGATGTAAACTATGATCTGATGGTGACACGAAATTTCTATGGCCAATTAAATGGGCAACGAAACTCTACAACAACGAATACTCTGTTAATACGCAAGGAACAAAGATATAAAAATGATATGAAACTTTTCGGATATGAAATTCTTCTCTTCTCTCCTTTCAAACTGTATTTCAATTGACCATATACGAAAAATTTGACATAATATACGAAAAGAGGTATCGTACTCATAGGTATTATGCAAACGCTCGTCGACGAAATTTTTATTATCGTAAGTAATTGTTGCACTGTTTTGCGAGAAAGCCGAAGAATCGCAGGGAGACATTTGTTGAACATCGATAACATTGAAACGTTGGAAATTGTTCGTTATAAATTAATACGGTGTATGGATTTCGCGTGTGACTGCCATCTATGTTTATGCTTGAATTTCTTGCCACAAATTGGACACGTGAAAGTAGGTTCTTTGCCACATTCCACTCGGATATGAGTCTTCAAGGAAGCACGCCATTTATAACGTTTGCCACATTGAGAGCAAGGCCACAGTTTCTTCTGCGAGCGAACTGCAAAAGAAGAAACGTAAAGCAGGTTGGTTAGCTTTCCGTTTGTAAACTCTTATCGAAAAGATAAATTATTCAGTGGACTCTTCGGTCAAGCAATTCGAGGTAAAATGTTCATCAATTTTTGGATTACTCCGAATAACATGCATTTTTCAAAGCAGTCTATTCTCGACAACTTTATGCAGAAATTGAACGCTTCATCGTTAAATTCCTAACAAGCCTTTATTAATTTCCTAGTGAACTCGCTTACAATTTACTGGAAGCCCAAAAAAATTTTTTAAACCTTCGAATTAATTTTTACAACAGCTTGGATAAAAAGGTTTTCATTGTGGTGGAAAGATGATTGGATTATGCACCGATGTGCATGCGAAATTTAAGGA